AACAGAGACCTTATTTAAAAAATGAGGGAGACGCCACCCCAGTACGTGGCATTAATTTTCAGGATTCATTCAATAATCAGTAACGTATAATACCATACGATATTTTAAGCTGGTGGAGATATCTGGGATATAGGGAGAAATCTGTGCTCATCCTTTACGTAACAGTCATTGAGTCACGCAATCTTGTTTAAACAAACAGTGTGAATCTTAAAATAGCCCCTGGACATTCCACTGTGATGGCCATATTCAAATGAATGTTCAAGATGTTTCCCCACTATCGTATACCCACACAGTAACCCTTCAGTGACAGCAGAACCATCTAGAGACAGTATTAAGCTACACTCGCACTGGACACACAGATCTATTCGCTTGCTCTGATGAAGCAGGAAAATCTGCTTCTCTGTCATCCACTCACCAAGGGAGGCAATAGATATGAAACGTTTTGAGGCTAAGCTCATCTGAGGGTGATTTTAACATACCAGTTATTGTTACTGGATAATTATTAGAGGAATTCATGGAACATGACCTTGTTGCCATATAAATGGTGGGAAACCCTGCTCTTCAACTGATTGATTAACAACTGACATTGGTCGGTTTCAAGAAGACAGGGAAGAAAACTTGAAATCCTTTGAATGCAACATTATTAATATTGCTATAGATACAGAACTAGAGGAAATTGTTCTTACAGCTCGGAACATTTGTCTGATTCCTGTAATCTTCACTGTTTTTTTCTATAGACTCCCATTGATATATTTCAAAGGCTAGTTTAGATATGATACAAGCATAAATATTTTGTGCACCTGATCAGCTAAGAGAGCAGCCAGTAGACATTGCAGCTCAGCATTCAGAAATTGTTTAGCGGTGTCTCTCTAGCAAAGAAAGCTTCAAAGGGGAGGCTGGAAAGGTTACTCTTCTGGAGCTCACTCAGTTTCGAACCTAGAGGTCAGGCTACTATTGGAAGGACTTGGATTTTCATGAGATGGAAACAAAATCATGCTGCTGCAGCCCCATTCTGTATGGGTCTGCAGGTGAAGTACTCAGCTCTTCAAGACTGTCCATGTGTTCTCTTCCACCAGGCTATAGCTATATCATGTGTCCTGAACAGACTGCGAAATCGGTCAACAAACCTGGTATTGATCCCTCAGTAAAGGCAGGATAAGGCTCCAGACAGAAGACTGTGTGGAGTGAGCTTATGGCAGCTAAACGAGCTGAATGTGTACCGAATGCTTCTCCTTCCAAGTTGGGGACCTAACCCGTGCTTCTGAATTCCAAAGTCTCAAGCACTTCAAGCCGAGAGGAAAATACCTCATGTCCTAGGTGGCTTGCAAAAGTCCCAGTGAAAGGCACGTGTCCCCAGGAGTCACTGGGGGAGCTGGGGAACCAGGCGGGCCGCCAACAGGTACACAGGGCCTGCCTGGGAGCACCCTGGCACTGAGACCCTGCCAGACCCCAGCCGCCCCCCCTTTGTCTGAACTCCCCTGGGGGCAGTGACCCACAGCACTGAGGAGCAGAGATGTATAGAACGGGGCTGGCCATTTGGACGTACCTCCTGACCCTGTCTCACAACAGGAGAGAGCACTCAGTGACATTAAAATAGAACAAATTTGCAATGATATCAGGTTATATGTTTTATGAGCCATATAATTAACATGCGACACTCAGTGCCATGGGATATTATTGACTTAAATAGCTTAGTAAGTATCAAAAAGGATTAGGCATTGACATGAAACAGAATAGCATATGCACTGACACAAGCTAGGATCAAAATTACAAGGGCTACCAATCCTTGTGCTTCAGGGCATATTTTGATCATCAGCTTGGGGTCAGGAGGAAAGCCGCTCTCTAATCAAGTAGTGTGCAGCATGCATGTGGGTTGTAGTTATACGGATCTCTTTTTTTGGCCTGTTTTGATTCCTTTCTCTTTTCTGTCTTCCTTTCATCCCCTCCTGTTCCTCCTCCCTCCCATTTATCGTCTGCAATAGGTCACTACTGAAGACAAGACACTAAACTAGATGGATGGCTGAATAGTCCGTACTAATAGGGTAATTTAATGTTTGCTTCTCTCCAGAACTCTAACGTTTATTTCAAATATAAATTTTATATTCACTTGCTAAAAAGTTCCTCTCTTTCCAACCTTCCTTCTACGCACGCTACTTTTTATTTTTATCAGCTACACCTACAAATCCACTTAGGCTTATTTGAATCATGATTTTTCAGAGGTAATAAATGAACCTCAGTTTGGGAGAAGGAAGAGAACAACCAGGCACATTAAAGGAACCTGGCTTTTCTGGTAGATACTCAACAATTGCTTAAGTAAAAAAAAAAAAATTTAGAGATCTTGTATTGTATAGCCAACATGAATAATCAGCTATGAAAAAAGGGGGGTTCTTCTGTATACATGACAGTAAGTCTGTGGGCAGTCATGCTAAAATGATGCTTGATTTAGGTAACTCTTTGCATGTTTCTTTGTAGATTCTGAAGCAAAATAATTGCTAAGAATTTTAACACTTTCATCACTTGCACATGCCAAAAAAAATCCTAATTTTAAGATGATGCAATATTTCACACAATTCTAGGGGTTTGGGTGTTTTGTTTTGTATTTTCATTTGTTACTATACTGAAGTAGTGCCAGGAAAGCCTCACGTAAGAGCAGAGCAGGTTGAATTTCATGTCCTGCAAATGCCTTGCAAGTGATAAGACCTACCTTGAGTTACTCACTCTAAACAGACAGACTGGACAGTGGAGGCATAGAGAAGAAAAATTACTTGGTTCTTTGTGGGACCCCAATTTAACAGCAGAAAACCAAAGAATGTCTATTTAAAAAATATGCCTACTCATTTCATGCATTGCTTTTTTTCCTTCATGCCTTCACCCTCCTAGACTGATTTCTAATTCCCCCATTCTTATCCTTCCCAGGTCTAATTTTGCTAACGCCCTCTCCTCATATCTGGCACTAGCCAATGCTGCTCCGCTCAGCACACTGATGCACATTGCCCTTTGGCTTATTCAACCTTTCTGGGAAGATGCTACCATGCAGCTTCTCCAGCACCCTTCCCATTTTCTACAGCGGGTTGAGTTCCAGTTAGTTTCTGTGAACTCATTTTGTAGTTCTTCACTCTCCTTCCCTAAAGACCAATGCTTTTGTGTTATTTCCTTCCCACAGACATTCTTCAACGTGCCAATGCTGACCTTAGGCTCCATGGACAGATGGGGCCTGATCCAAAGTCCATTAACATCAGAGGAAATGTCCATTTGCGCCCATGGGCTTTGCATTAAATCCTTTGCATTTTACTTATTTCTTTAGTACCTCTTACTCAGCTCCAGTTATTAAAATCAGATTAATCCCTGACAGATCCCTTACAGTTCAGTGTACTGTATAAGCCAACCTGTGCTACTTCAAAAGATAGAGACCCAAACTGCTACTCCGCTAATATGAAATCTGCGGCTGGCTAATACTAAAAGCAAGACATTACTTCCAGATTTCAATTCTGCATAACTGAGGTCAGAATCTCATTTACTGTTCATTAGCTGAATCTCCCATTACTAGCACACAGGCTCTCTCAAAGCCATTTCTTACTCTTCAGGTATTTTCTGGCCCTTACAACATTACTCTGCCCAAGCACTGTTTAAGATTCACCTCTGTTTGCAGTTTTACTCTCAATACAAGTAGACTGCTATGTCAGCCAGAACATCAATATTTCTTTCTGTTGACAAAATACTCTTTTATCCATATTGCCACCCCTCCTCCTGCTTCATTTTGTCTACATTCCTTTCAAAAACTCTACTCCCATAATTTAGTCTCCCACTCAGTACTTGGTTTAATCAAGTCTGTCACTCAATTTATATCCCACTTCTCGCTTAACACAAGTTTCTCGGTTAGCAATCTGTTTCTGTAGCACTTGCTATGCATAACACATGGTTAGCTTTTCTTTCCACACTTGCTTCTCTGTTCCCTTTCTGATTTCCAGACCTCACTTTTCCTTGTAACACTTGAGGATGAGAAACTTCCTCTTCTGTCTCCCTCTTTTTATGTTTCTCGTGTATTTTTATGAGCCCATTACAATCAGGGCTTCTTAAATATCATGGGGTGCTTTGTGTAGGGCACAGAACAGTCCTTGAGTCCAGTTAAAACAATCTTCAACTGCAGAATCTCACTCAGTTTAATACACAGCTTTAGGTAAACTTCTCCTGTTGCTGTGTTTCTCTGTTGTGGCTTGTACCTCTTTCCATCTTCATCATCCTTCCTTGGTTTGTAGGAGCACGGGACAAACGCATAAAAGGTAATCTCCATCTGGCTGCTCATTCAGCACAGTGTGCTAATATCTGGTCTTAAACATCCACCCTCAGTTTTTGTGTTGAGGAACAAAGAGAGGAACAGAGTCCTGCTCCAGTTGCTCCGTACATCTTAGCATAGGGGACTGTGTCATATATCTTGACTATATTGCCTGGTGCAACCACAGCACAAACTTAACAGCTCACCTTTCCTGCACAAAGAACATCCCATTTCATTTTGGATGGTGGACATGCACTGCTGGTTGTCTATCAGCAACACTGCCCACCACCGCATCTAGAATCTCCCACTTGAATTTTGTGTTATCAGTCAATTCTGCCAGTAAGGACTGTAGGTTGTCTGATTCCTTTCCTCCTCATCTGCAGCTCGAGAAACTGGTGGATCACTGAATGAGGCTGCTGGACTTGTTTTAGCTTAGCAGGAGGCAAATTCACCAATTGGCACCTGTTGGATAGATCGTTTGTTGGTTCTCTGAATTATTCTGCTGGGTCAGCAAGTTTCCAGGTTTAACTGCTGGCATGGTGCAAGATGCAGAATGCTGTTGTTTCATAATCACCTTCTAGAAGTACTGCTTTGTTGTAATGCTACTGTTACGTTGTCCTACTTTTGCTATCTACTTTCTGCATAAGCTGGGTGAATTTTTGCCCGCTGCATTACTTAGGTACTTAGGTGCCTTTGCAGCACTGGGCTGGCTGCGTTTAACCTGGAGATGGGGAGCGTGGGGGATATGCTGGTGGCTGCCGTAACTGCTTTTCACGGGATTGAGTAACACAATTCCCTAGTCCAGCCACAGAGCAGTACTGCATGGTACTTATACAGTACTATTCATTTTCAGATCAGTTTAATACTGCTCCTGGCTTATGGTTTGCTCATCTGTCCCCTCTATGTTCTTAACACAGCTCGCGCTCCCAGCCGCGCCGGAGAGGCCAGAGCAGTCCTTCCCTCTCTGCCTGGATCAGTGACTGCCCTATATAAATCTGCATATTAAGCAGATTTGGCAATTGTTCAGACAGAGACAGACTCACTTAAGTAAGAGGTGAAAATAAACTTGCTTATAAAGGCACTGCAGCCAGCACTCTCGGATGGTATGCTATTAGAGACAGAACAGAGGCAGGCTTGTTTGCTTTTGCAGTCGGAGACCGATGATTTCTGTTTGTCTTCTGCGTCCAAGTCCCATCACCATAAACCATACGTGTGTGCGAACACCGCGTCCCATTCTTTAGCAGTTTCAAGACATTTCGCGTGTTACCGCTCTACCTCTGCAGCAGAAGGTTCATTTCCTCGGGGGCTCCCACACGTACCCCCAAGGTCGGGCAAGCGCTGCCCTCTCGGCAGCGCGCCGGGCCCAGCGCTGAGGCGGGTCGGGAGGAGGACTTGGGGCTCCGCTTCCCCCGCTCGTGGGGGGCAACGCGGGGCGGCGGGTCCCC